TACGTTACGTACGTACGTACGTACGTAGTAGTAGTACGTAGTAGTAGTAGTACGTAGTAGTAGTAGAGTAGTAGAGAGAGAGAGAGAGAGAGAGAGAGAGAGAGAGAGAGGTTTTTGGGGTAGGCTTCTTGCTAATGGGATGTATATGCTGCATTCTTTGCTCTGGAAAGCGCCGACATGATTGAGTGGAACGCATTTGCAGCTATTTGTGACTTTATCTGGCCTCTCTTGGGCAGAGGCTTTCTATTTGGAAGACCCATCTCTCCAAAGCCATTGAAGCTCCTCATGGCGCCAAAACTTGATGCTGCACTCACCTTGTTGCTCATTTCTTTGAAATTGAAGTAGCACTGCTCACAAGTTTCTCTCACACTGTAGAAGATTGTAGCATGACTTGTCTGGTTTACCTATGGGTGTATTTATGGTCTCTAAGACCAGGGAACTAATTCAAGAAATGTTTTTGATGATTTGAGGTGAGAGAGAATTGGGGTGGGACAAAAGAGGGGGGGACATGCCAGCTAAATGGTTCCTGTCCTTGCAGAGATTCCATCCAACCCAGGAGAGGGAGACCACAGGGAAACAAAATCTGGATAATTCTTGATATCTCCATTTAAAATCACTATTTTCAGATTTGTTTTTTTGGAGTGAGAAAGATGTGTCAATGTGCGTACAGATGCACGTGTGGTAATGTAGCATTATTTCTTCTCCCCAGAATAATGTTGTGATGATCATGAGTGGTAGGTCAGGATTTTGAGCTGGTTCTCTCTTTCTTTATTGAGATTCTGGATGGGAGTTTTGGGTATAGCCCCTTAGGGGAGGGGTTTTTTCTGTATCAGTTGGCCTTAGGTGAGCGGTTCCTTTTTGGAGTAGGGGAGGTACATAGAAATCGGTAGAAATGGGAACATGATTAGTGAGAGGACACTTTAGGGTAGTTGGTTTTGAAGGTCAACCCATATGGGGTGTCACACAATTTTGTGTGGGAACCACATGATAATTATGTAGGCGTGGGGAGGTACCTTATTTTCCCAAGGTCTCATCACATGCAATCCAACAGAATCTGACCATCTGCTTTTGTTCTGCTCTTGTCTCAGGTTGTTTCTTGTTTTTGCCTTCATTGTCAACTCCCTCAAGTTGAAAATAAATGTTAAAAATGTATCATTATTGGTTGATATTATTGTCAGCCTAGGTAAATTGCCACATGGAGAAACAAGTGAAAAGGGGCAAGCTGCTGTTACTTTTAATTGTTAAGTCCCACAAGTTGAAACTATATATTAAAATAATTCTATCATTATTGATGCTTTTTGACACATGGTGAATCAAGTACAGAAAAGTACCCAATCTAGATCAGGAAAGGAGGAGCATGAGTACAGCAAAGTACCAATCTGGATCAGGAAAAGTGGAGTATGAGGACATGGGAGCTCTCAAGCAGAAAAATATGAACTTGTAAAAATGCACCAATATGAAGCCTAAAGGGAGGGGGAAATGTTATAGTTATAACTTATTTGAGCATGGTGAGGCACCCCTTCACACAAAACAATTTTTTATCTTACGAACAATTATTTCTGGTGGTCTCTGTGACACTTATTATCATCACTACCCTTGTGTATTTTTGTTAGCGTCCACTGGGCAATATAGGAAGAAGCTTATATAAGTTGTCAACGAAGTAAGGTGCACCTTAAAGGTACACCCAAAAAGGTTATGCTGTCCAAAAATCCTTGAGCTGAAAGGTCCGCCCAAAAAGGTTTGGGTTGTTCTGCTGTCATAAAATCCTACAGTAAATAATCTTTACCTCGAGATGTATGGATATAGAAGAAAAAAAACTTCAATCTTTACCTCGAGATGTATGGATATAGAAGAAAAAAAACTTTAAGTCAAAATTTTTACATCTTGTAAAATGTTATCGAGGCCGTTCATTTTCAAAATATAAGTGTTTATTAGATATGCTCAATCAACCCCATTTTTGGAACGTTAAATTTTATAATCAGTTGCAAAGATAGATTTTTAGTGAAAATAGATTTTTAGGCTATCATAAAGGTTTCCGGCATGACATCTTTTAACAAAATTTAGAGGTGCGCCTTACTTTTTTGAGAGATGAAAATTTGTCGAGTACTTTTACCTACCTAGTTATTCAGTCATCAACATCTTTTACAAAATTCTAATAAATATAGGAGAAGACATTATAAACCATGAAGCCCCATCATGGTCAGCATGGAAGGAGCTGCCAACCCCATTTCCTCAGACTCCCCATGCACCAGGCAACGTTTTGCTATTAAATCCTTTCTTTTTTTTAATCAAAGTATTTTGAAAAGTATGGTCATTAAAGTTCAATTATTTCCTTGACCTTGTAGTTTGTACAAACACAGGCTGTCATGTTCCGCTCTCTCTCCTTGTTTAATTATCAGTCTCCTTGTCTCCCTTTCTTCTCTCACAAATTTAATCATTCATGAAATCAATGTTAATGCTGTCCTCTTAGGGACATTACCATTTTTCCATGAAACTTCTTCCACTAAGATCCCACAATATAAAAACACATGACCATCATAACATTGATTTAGAACTTGCTTACACTCACATTTCTCTCTTCCTCTCTCTCTCTCTCTCTCTCTCTCTCTCTCTCTCTCTCTCTCTCTACTCTACTACGTACGTACGTACGTACGTACGTACGTACGTACGTAGTACGTACGTAGTACGTACGTACGTACGTACGTACGTACGTACGTACGTACG